GTTTCTCACCTGTCTGATGTGTTTCTCACCTGTCTGATGGGTTTCTCACCTGTCTGATGTGTTTCTCACCTGTCTCATGTGTTTCTCACCTCTCTGATGTGTTTGCCATATAATTGGATTGTCAGCTGCGCGCATTCCTGACACAATCTGTCCGACACCGGACCGCACATTAAGCACATTATTATGGCCCGGTCCGAATCCGGGTCAGACGGGGCTGGGCTCTGGGTTTGGATTAGAAATGACAGCTCTACTTGCCTGATGTTTTTCTTACCTGTTGATGTGACTGCTTTATCACCTGTCCATTGGGTTTCTCACCTGTCATCAGGTGTTGGAGGAGGAGCTGTTCTCAAACATCGAGGAGACGCCGGCCTTCACTGAGTTCCTGCAGCTGCTGGGAGACACGGTTGACCTGCAGGACTTCAAGGGGTGAAAAACACACAGACAACAACAACACAAACATTAACAAACATGAAATGTTGTTTCTGTTTTCATGTTCATTTCAGAGCTGAACTTTTAATGACTGAAAAACATCTTTAATCTTTTTAGACAAACAGAAGCTTCTTTATTGACCTGAAGCAGGAGAAAATGTTTACTCTGAACACTTTCATGTCCACAACATCCATCCATCCATTTTCTTTACCCGTTTATTCCATTTTGGGTCACGGGGGTCGCTGGTGCCCATGTTCAGCAATCACTGTGCGAGGGGCGGGGGACACCCTGGACGGGTCTCCAGTCCATCACAGGGACACATAGAGACAAACGAGACAAACAACCATTCACTCTCTCACCTAGGGACAATTTAGAGTTACCAATCAGTCTAACATGCATGTTTTTGGTCTGTGGGAGGAAACTGGAGTACCTGGAGAAAACCCACGCATGCACGGAGAGAACATGCAAACTCCACCCAGAAAGGCCCCTGGACCATTATCAAAAACATCAAAACATTAATTTATCCTTAGATCAGAAGCTTGTCTTGATCTTGTGTTGTTAGTGTTTTGTGTGTAGCTGTGTGTTAATGCATTGTTATTGTGTTGTTGTTGTGTGTCAGTGTGTTATTGTGTTGTTGTTGTGTGTTATGTGTGTTATTATGTTGTTATTGTGTGTCATTGTGTGTTCTTGTCTTGTTATTACATTTTGTTGTGTCGTGTGTTATTGTGTTGTTATTGTGTGTCATTGTGTGTCAGTGTGTTGTTGTTGTGTGTTATTGTGTGTTATTGTGTTATTATTGTGTGTCATTGTGTGTTATTGTGTGTTACTGTATTGTTATTGTGTTGTTGTTGTGTGTTATAAGAGTTATTGTGTTGTTATTGTGTTGTTGTTGTTGTGTGTTATGTGAGTTATTGTGTTGTTAGTGTGTCATTGTGTGTTACTGTGTTGTTATTGTGTTGTTATTGTGTTGTTGTTGTGTTTTATTGTGGTTACTGTGTTGTTATTGTGTTGTTATTGTGTTTTGTTGTGTCGTGTGTTACTGTGTTGTTATTGTGTGTCATTGTGTGTCAGTGTGTTGTTGTTGTGTCTTATTGTGTGTTATTGTGATATTAGTGTGTGTCAGTGTGTTATTGTGTTTTTATTGTGTGTCAGTGTGTTAT